ATATTTTGCACATTTCTGCACTAATTCTATGATTCTGGACAGTTGAACTATTTTAATTTTCTCTTATTATGTTTATTGTTTGTGCACCAAAACACAAAGGCAAATTCCTGAAAACCTTGTTGGCAATAAACTGATTTCTGGTTCCTCTCTTGGCCCCAAATCTCTGGCTCTGACTTTAGTCTCACAGTCAGAATTAAGAGTCGACTCCATTTTCTCTGATGATTCTAGAGACTCGATAAAATGTGTTCGTCTTCATCAAAATGTCAAAGAGAGAAACATGACAATCACAGCTGAGTCACCAGAGAGTGATTCATGTTGCTGTAACCCATGGTGTGTGTGTGTGTGTGTGTGTGTGTGTGTGTGTGTGTGTGTGTGTGTGTGAGAGCAGCCTGTAAGAGTCAGGGTCTGTTGGAGTGTAGGAACGGTCAGTGTGTTCCGTCTGCGTTTCGCTGTGACGGAGAAGACGACTGTAAAGACGGCAGCGACGAGGAGTACTGCAGCCGAGAGCAGAGTGAGACACCTGTCTGTCCATCACCTGTCTGTCCATCACCCGTCTTCTTCTCTCATTGTGTGTGTGTGTGTGTGTGTGTTACAGCTCAGGGTGTGTGTGCTCCCGGTCAGCCCAGCTGCATCTCCACTTCCTGTCCGTCGGTGTGTGCAGGGGGCGGAGCCTGTGACCCCCGAACCAACAACAACAACTGCAGTGAGTCTTCACTCTGCTGCAAGAACCACGACACGTCCTGACTACGGCATATTAATGTAACATTTACTGATATTTGTATTCACATTTACACATTCACAGTTGAAGAAGTACTCGCAGCCTTTATGCAAGTACTGTACACATGTGAGGTACTTGTACTTTAGTACAGGTACTTTCCACCACACATTTGTAGTTCTTTTTGACTCTAAACCCACGGTACCTGTCTGTGTGTCCGGTCCTCAGCGCACTGTGAGCCCATCAGCCTGGAGCTGTGCATGAACCTTCCCTACAACCTGACCAGCTACCCCAACTACCTGGGCCACCTGTCCCAGAGAGAGAGCTCTGTGTCCTGGGAGTCCTCTCTGTTCCCGGCGCTGGTCCAGACCGGCTGCTACCAGTACCTCATGTTCTACGCCTGCACGCTGCTGGTCCCCAAGTGTGATCCGGTCAGCCTGCAGAAGGTCCCGCCCTGCAGGTAGTTTAGTTAGTTAGTTAGTTGGTTAGTCTGCAGAGGATCCCGCCCTGCAGGTAGTTTAGTTAGTTATGTAGTTAAGCAGTTGTGCTCTGGTTGGTTAGTTAGTCTTCAGAGGGTCTCTCTGGCTAGCATGTTCGTTGGTTAGCATGTAAGTTAGCATGTTAGTTGGTTAGCATGTTTGTCAGTTAGCATGTCAATTAGATAACGTGCCCGTTGGTTAGTTAATTTAAGTTATTTAGTCATTCAGTTACTTTGTTCGTGTCTCGTCCTCTCAGGTCGTTGTGTCGTAATGCGAAGGAGAAGTGTGAGTCGGTACTCGGCATTGTGGGATTGCAGTGGCCTGAGGACTCAGACTGTAGTCAGTTTCCAGTGGAGGGAGGAAACACCACATGTCTGCTGCCGGAGGACGGAGTCGACGGTAATGTCTGTCTGTCTGTCTCTCTTTCTGTCCTGATATCAGGACTTGAACTTGACGTTGTTGTTGTTGTTTGTTGTTTTTGGTGCGTTGCCTTGGCAACAGAGTGCTCCCCCAGCCATTTCAAGTGTCGGTCGGGTCGCTGCGTCCTAGCAACCAAACGCTGTGACGGACACCTGGACTGTGACGACCACAGCGACGAGGACAACTGTGGTGAGACGCACAACCTTTCAAAATAAGAGTCTGTTGGACTGTGCTGCTTCCTGCTAGTAGTAAATGTATGTGTGGTGGTAAAAGTATCTGTATTCAGTTGATGATGTCACCTCTCCTTCAGGCTGTTCTGAGCGCGCTCTGTGGGAGTGTCCCGGCAGTAAAGTTTGTATCAAAGCCAGTATGATCTGTGATGGCTTCCCAGACTGCCCTCTGCTGGTGGACGAGAGCAACTGCTGTGAGTCTTGTTTATTCTGTTACACAGTTAGTTTATTTATGTTTTAAATTAGACTACAGTAGTGTATAGTAGTGTTGGTGATGGGGTTACTGATGACGGTGTTACTGATGACGGTGTTATTGAGGACGGTGTTATTGATGACTGTTGTTGGCGACGACTGTGTTATTGGCGACTGTTATTGGCGACTGTGTTGGTGACGACTGTGTTGTTGGCGACTGTGTTGTTTGGCGACTGTGTTGGTGACGACTGTGTTGTTGGTGACTGTGTTGTTGGCGACTGTGTTGGTGACGACTGTGTTGTTGGCGACGACTGTTGTTGGCGACGATTGTGTTGGTGACGACTGTGTTGTTGGCGACTGTGTTGTTGGCGACTGTGTTGTTGGTGACTGTGTTGGCGACGACTGTTGTTGGCGACGACTGTATCGTTGACGACTTTGTTGGTGACGGTGTTGTTGGTGACGAC